GTGTAGATGTATATAATTTTGTTTTATTTTTTATTTTATTTTTTACATTGTGAACATTTTGAAGTATTGGATGCAAACAAAACTGGAATTATTTTTGTTTTTTTTTATGTTTTAAACCGTACAGTGACTAAACAAAAATTGAAACCTAAACATCTTTGTAAAAATCAATCACAGTGAAATTCAGTTTTACTTATCATTTAGTGTTGACCTGTTTACTCTGTCATAGTCAGAAATCTCTTTTTGGATTTTTGTAGGACTTCTTAGGTAATGTAATCAAAGATGAACTTGTACATTACTGAAGACATTTTAATTCATGATGATTCCATCACCTTTATATCATATAGACCACCTTCTGCACCCATGTTTGTGTCTGAGTTTAAGCACCAGACTTTGGTAACAGTTTCTTTAGTGTCGCAGAAAAAAACCTCCTACTCACAGTAAATTATTCCTAAATGAAATTTCTCTGATTTACCTGCAATCAACACCTGAATATTGAGTATAAAATGTTTTCTGACAAAAAGATGTTCTTAAAATACCTTTTTCTTTCTATTTTGCTTAAATAGTAAACTTATTGTCATGTTTTTTTTTACCTGTTGTCATTTCCCAAGTGTTTTATTTTTGTTCTGTCTGAAGACAACAGGGGGCGTCAGAGAGTCACTATTTTGAAAAGTAGCCTTCAGTCGCAGCTCTTTTCCCTGAACTTGAGTTGAACTTGTAGAAACTCCTCAACTTGATGCCTTGTTTTTTTTATATCCTGTTCTGATTGTATATATTTTGATTTGCCTCTGATTGTACAGCACCTTGTGAATCTATTTCTATGAAAGGTGCTATATAAATAAAACTTTACTTTACTTGTTTTTGTGAGATACAAGAAAGACATTTGGATTTATTTTTGTTGGTCTGTTACTTTCTCTTTTTTTATTCAGAAGTCATGATATGTTAGAGTCTTTGTTGCCAATACTGAGGGTGCATATTGACAGTCTTTAGGAGATTTGTTTGGTGTTTACTGTTGTCTTTTATTTTAGTATTGTAAAGAAGGCTTGTATTTGCAGAAGGAAACAGATCGAGACATTTAGATGAAGAAGGTATGAAAAGCAAGTTTTCTGCTATTCAGTAACAGATCCACCAGAGTGCACCCTGTGTACTGTTCAAGAGTTTTAATATTCAGTACAGCTAAAGTGCATTTACCTAAAAATGGGGAAAATTAGACTCATCTGCCTCTGTATCAATCTATGTTAAATGTTTGTTGGTAAAAAAATAAATACCATTTATCTTTGTGCATATATATATATATATATATATATATATAATATAGAAGGGTTGTGTCCTGAACAAGTTACATTCCAAACAGATAAAACATTGGCACTTTCTTTCTTTACTCAGGTTCTCATTGGTATGCAATTTTTTTTGATATTATAATATTTAGTTTCTATTTTGGTTCGTGTGTGTGTTTTTCTTAAATGTTTTGTGCTATAAGGCTGTTTTAACCTGATGGAAATAATTAAATAAATCACATGTTTATACATACCCTAAAAAAGGTAACTAGTTGATGTAAACAAAATTCAGCCACTAAGTGGGAGTTTAAAATTTTGAAGCAATAGCAAAAGTGAACCAAAAAACAAAAGAGTTGATAAAACTTAACTTATAAGAGATAAATTGAACAAAGACTGCGTGAAGGAGAATGAGCCAGTTTGATAAGAGGAAGTGACAAATGGAGAACGACTTGAATAAAAGGTTTAAATGAGGGTCAGGGTTAGTCGGAAGGAGATCTGGCCAGATGGGCATTTGTTCGCTTCCTCTTTAACCTCCAGAGGATTGTGGTAACGTACTGCAGTGCTCTACCAGACCCCAGGTCCCAGAGGGCCCTCTCAAGCCTGGGGAGACAGAGCAGAGCTGCTGGGGTTCTGTGGAGTTTGGCTCGTGGACCTGTTGACCCGTCAGACTTACTCAGTCATGTTTATGATGGGATATTTTTGTTATTTCTCCAATCTGCGTCATCCACAGCTTGACCCTCTGACTGTAGACAGACACCCAGTATCAGCAGGCCTGCCCTCCCCCAGCTTCAGCCGAGTGCTTTTTACTGCCTGTTTTTTGAACCACACTAATATCTACTGTTCACTCCCTGTGTACTCCTGCTTCCCCACCTCCTTTTCTCCTGCTTCACTTCCTTTGTAGAGGATTACAATCTGCTCCTTAAAGCATCAACTGCCACGATCCGACCACTCGGCTCACAAGTCACTTCATCCTGTTTCAAGACAAGTTCACTTCATTTTCTTCAGCTTTAACAAACATAGTCATGGTTTATTTTTAGTGTAGCCCTGGTTTGTGATCATTAACTTGTTAGACCAGCAGAGGACGCAGGCTATGTAGTTTTAATTAAAAGGGCCTTAAAGTAGCCAGTTGGCTTACCGAGACTTGCCAGCAGGGCTTTAAAGCAAACTGCAACATGTACAGGAGTTAAGAGTCCTGTGTAGCTCTGTGTTTGTTCTGTGTTGCTGCTTCGCAATGCTTCCGAAACACACGTCCTGATTGGCACGTTGCTGCAAAAAGTGTGAAACAACCTGAGTTGAGGGCAACTCTAGCGCTTGCCTTGAAACAGTTGTTGATGCTTTTGTCCTACTGTGAAAAATAAAGAAGCAACAAAACAGTGAGTGAACAAAAAAATTCTTTGAAGTGAAATAAAACTAGGAATTTTAAAAATAGTTGGAAATATCCAGTTCAGCTGTTTGTTTTGTGTGTGTGTGTGTGTGTGTGTGTGTGTGTGTGTGTGTGTGTGTGTGTGTGT